ATGATATTCGAGTCTTAACGTACAAAAATTTATATTACACAATCTCTCGTAACAGAAGACTCCGTAAAGCAAATAATACATTAGAACATATCAAACATAATCTATAGTTCTTTTTGATTGAAAAGTAAGGTTTATGAAAATGGAAAGCTTTTTCTCAAAAAGTTTGATTTATGTGGATCAAATGAAAGGTCATACTGAGAAAATATCTTAGTCCAAAACTTTTATACGATTGAACATGAATATAAAAAATCACGATAGATTACTTTTTAGTGATAAGTAACTTTCAGTACTATGAAAAAATACCCCATGATAGCTAGTATCTATAAAAAAACAACCACTGATATTACTTTTATCGTTCTTTAGAAAATTATAATTTACTGAAAAGTATAAATCTACAAAGTACCCCAAATGTAGCCGAGTACCTAATAATTATTTGCAATACTTATATCTTCAGAATGAATCATCCATTTAAACTGAAGCGTTCAGTTTATTCCTAACTCAGATACATATAACGACTGTAAGAACAATGACTCAATTTGTGAGATCACGTGAACAAAACTCTACTAGGAGTGGCCGTGACCTATGTGCAATATCTTGTAGGGAAATCAACGATAGTAAGAAACTGAAGTACAAAAAGACAACATGGTTTCTAAACCTTTGATGTCTGTATGATTTCCAGCACGGTGTCGGAATCTTTTGAACGTTACCAGTAATAACATTTCAGAAGACTCATGAGAGTTTACAATTAAGAGTGTCTCGTTATCAACAATTGAGAGTCTTTTGGAGTTTTCGATGGTATTATTAGCTGAAGAACTTTGAGCATATTGCAAAGTTACGGATACTGAATTTCAATTTGATAAAACTCTAGAAGTTTTGCAAGATTTTTTGATACATCCTATTGTCGGAGTTTGCCACAATACGAAAATTTTTTAAAGTGAAAGGATTCATGGAACTTAGACAACCTAAGAAAGCAGCGGAATCCAAAGAGCTTAAGTATTGGACGGACGAGAATGAGTACATAGGTGAAAGACTGAGAGTAATAATCAACAGAATTCTCTTAACCCTCATTCAAGTGTCGTCAAATTGTGTTAAAGAGAAAGATTTCGAGAAGTTCGACATAATAGAATTACTAGATTTGAAATGATTTCTTTTTGACGAAAACCCAGATCTAATTCCACTAGGTTTTGATGAACAACGTGATTTTCTCAGACAGTTCGATGTCGGATCCACAGGTTGAATGGAATCACTTGGAGCTGTTAAAACGGTTAAATTCTACTAAATACTATTTTCTTGATGAAAATAATTCGTGAAAAGTTTTCATTCAAAAAAAATCAAGCATTCTTTTGTATTTGTCGAAATTTCGTTATTATAACTTTCTCGTTATCAATTAAATATTTTTATACAATTATCTAGTTTCTGCCTTTATCATATATAAACTAATCAGTATTCAGACATTTTTTCATTGTTTCACATATTTGTATCATACAAAACGTTATTCTCTTAAGAAAAAGTATAAATAACTTACCAGAAGTAGTTTTAATTGGTAGTTTTGCTGCAGCCAGTTGCATTTCATTCATAGCCGATGCTAATGGTTGAGCATTGTTAGCATCGATTTCAATTAAATGTACGACGTGTGAGCCATTTGGATGATTTAATGTATTGGCTTTTACACGAAATTCGGTGCCCATTCGTAAGATAACTTCATCTTCGTATTCATGTTCTGTATATCCAGAAATTTTTTTTCCATTAACAGCTTCAATTAAGAAAAGAGTTGCATTTTTGCCGTTACCAAGGAAACTTTCAATAACATTGACGGATGACGAACACGAACTAACACTCCACCACGTCACAATTTGGTTTTTGATGAAATTCTTGCCAATATCAATAGGTACACCCCTCCAGACCACCTCTTTCACAGTAGGTAACTTATCCAATGCTGTATCAAATAGTTTTAAATATGGGAACCATATCTTTAATGCTTTTCGATTTTCAGATCGTAGTGCATCATTTAATACACGATACAAAGTAGTTTCACCCCATTCCATCGTATAAATATACACAGCAGCTGATTGATCATGTGTTAATCCATGTTCTGACGGAAAGTGACAATAACGTTTGGCTATCTTTATAAAACGAGGCAGTTCATCAATTTGAGGCTCAATAGGCTCTAGCGCTTTTTCAATTGGAACAAGTTTTTCAGCATAATAACCATACACTGGTGGAAGTCGTTTGAATGAAACTTCGATATCACCAAAGCGATTCATCACATACGATTTGTATTTGCTGTTGAACGTTGATGAAAGTACGATTGCTACGAGTTCGAAACAATTGTTTAAAATATTTTAGATTTGTTTTCCTA